AAGTGTATCATTTGTCTTTTTTTCCCTCATCTTGGAAAAAAGAAGGGAAATTGGAAGTTCTATGTATGTATGTATGTATGTATATATGTTGATACCTCACTTATGTTTCAAACAATCATGCTCCCAACATGGATAGACTGATGGACAGACAAAGAGAACTTCCAATTTCCCTTCTTTTTTCCAAGATGAGGGACAAAAAGACACATGATACACTTGATATTATGAAAACAAGCACCCACACATGTATGCATCGATCCATGTATCTTCTGGAACATCAAAAATTACCCTGTTTGATACTTAAATTCTTTACTTTAGATAAATATATAATTACACATAGACTTTTTCATCATACACAATAATGTATTAAGGGTATGTGTAGTCATGTATTTATCTATACATGATAAATTATATATTTATTATTTATATCACTTAACAACCCAACAGACAACGAATGAATCATGAGATGATCACATCCACACATCACAATGCTGTCCCCTTCATGAAAGACTGACTGCTGACCACAGATAGATGTAACTACTGGAGTGCTTTCAAAGTACAGCCTCAGGAGCAGAGGAGCTAAGAGACGCTCACTCCGGTTGTCATCACGGCCACAGAGAAGCGGTCGAATCACTGCTGAGAAATCAAGGCTTTCATGTTGACAGAGTCTGATGGAGAGCAGGTTAGAAGGGTGAGCTGAAAATAGAGCTGAAAAGGGTTAAATGATGTGTGTGGGGGGAGTTCTTGTGTGTGTGTGTTTCTTTTCTTAATCAAAACTACAGATCCAGCATTACAATATTTTGTGGGTTTTGTCCTCATAAGCTTAGTGGTATTGTCCAGATGAAGATACTGCTTGCTTACTAAAATGACAAAGTAGCAGCAGTTTGAATAAAACATAATGACTTGTCAAAAGCTGACAGCCCCTTTCTTGTAATTGCTACATGAGGAGGGCCGAAAATATATGACTCAAACTTTTGATTATCCGCTCAGTGCTGGATTTGGGAACGCAGCACAGAATGCGTCCTCGAAGAAATGATCCAAGTGTGAACCTGAACTGCGTGTCTCTCCCTGCACTGAGCAGTAATGGCAGGCTTCACAAACTCATGCTAAAAAAAGGCCAGCTTTTGTTTTCAGAAGCAACTGGGCACCATGTTTCTTTAGAGTTTAAGTTAGGCTGCTTTCTTCTGTTAGAGGCGTTTCTTCTGCTCTGCGAGGCTGAAGGAATAACTTTTGTTTGTGGTCTTTAAGGGAGATGTTCAGCTGTAGTCAGGCTCTGTTCTCCGTCTCGCTGCATGTTTGGAGCCTGCAGGGCTTTGTCGTGTTGTTGACCAAGGACGGGCAGCTCTGACATGACGGACATGTTGGCTGCTGGGAGGAAAATCAATTCATCACCGCGGCACTAATAGCTGCCAATCATCTCTGCCGAGAGCCAGTAAACCCCCTCCTGAACTGACAGGTGGCGAGTTATACTGGGAAGGCCATAAAATATCCACTCCTGCATTTTTCAACAATTAGGAGGAAGTCAAACAGACATCATAAAACACATTTAGGACTTGAAGGCAGGGGTTGGGGAACGACTGTGAGCATTGGTGTGTCTTTCAGGAACGCACAATGTTTTAGTAAAAGTTTAGTTAAAAGCTTAATCCTGCAGGAAAATTGGTTGTTATGAAAGAAATGAAAATGTTTTCAAAGGTTTGTCAGGGTTGCCATCTGTGAGGAATTAAAACCAGTGACATGCTGAGGAAATGCACAGCTGGTCAGAGGATTGGAGGAGGAATAACATATTGGAAAACTTTTGTGTAATCTTTATAAAACATTGTTGAAGAATATTATTTCCTTTTCTGTGTTTGTATCATAAAGCTGAGCTGGTTGTCTCCAGCTGTAGCTCTCTACTTTTAAAGTTTGAGTCAGTATCTGTAGCACAGCACTGCTTTAAACAAAATGTCAAAAATTTCACAACATAAGAGTAGTGCGTGTGTGTAGTGTTTGCAAAATACTGTAGCTCATGAACCAATGGGCACTTTTTAATGAAACTTGCAAAAAGTAATCATTTGATATATACTGTATTTACAGCTGCCTAACTTTTGAAATCAACCTGATTAAAAATGGTCGCCACAGCCAGCTGGCCTTAGAAAACTCTAAATTGGCTATGACTCAGTCAATCGTAAAAATATTGATCTGAGATTTGCTGTTGTAGTAGTGAAGACACCTCTAAGACATACTCCAAGCTGTATGAAAGCTTTGCTTGAAACTTGGTTTTAACGATGGGAATAAACCCTGTTTGTCCAGTAGCAAAATATAATCTGGTCTCTCTTGTAAATGAGTCATCGAGGCTCAATGGGATTTATCCGTCTAAATAAAGGTTGAATGAATCTCCTGAACCACAGAATGAGTCTTAATGAAATTTCCAGAAAGTGGTCATTTAAAATACATCCTCTGGAGTTAATCTGGTTCAAACTGGCCACCTCATCGAATCAACAATAAAAAACATAAAGCTTACTCTTAACTCAGTCAGTTTTACAGATATTAAGCTAAGATGTGGTGTGGGAGTGGCTAAGAGTCATCTTCTGCTTATGACATCATCAACAAGGTTGGACCCAAACAGACAACTTTGTCTTTTCTCATCATATGATGATGATTCTAGTGTAAAACATTTGAATTATTAGTAAGGACTGGGTTGGATCTGCTCTCAAAGGTCAAAGGAAAAGTCTACAAAATAGTGGTAAGGCCAGCTATGTTGTACGGTCTGGAGACAGTGGTATTGATGAAATGACAGGAGAAAGAACTGGAAGTGGCAGAAATGAAGATGTTGAGGTTCTCCTTAGGAGTGCAAAGGATGGATACGATTAGGAATGAGCTCATCAGAGGTACAGCACAGGTTGAACAACTGGGAGATAAAGTTAGAGAGGCCAGAATGAGATAATTTCTACATGTCCAGAGGAGGGACAGTGGGTATATTGGTAGAAGGATGTTAGAAATGCAACTGCCAGGAAAAAGACAAAGAGGAGATATATGGATGCAGTTATTGAGGACATGGATGTAGTTGGAGTGATGACAGAGGATGTAGAGGACAGAATGAGGACAGAGGATGTAGAGGACAGACTGAGGACAGAGGATGTAGAGGACAGAATGAGGACAGAGGATGTAGAGGACAGAATGAGGACAGAGGATGTAGAGAACAGAGTGAGATGGCGGAGGAGGACTCGCTGTGGCGACCCCTGAAGAGGCAAAAGCTGAAAGAGAAGAAGAAGAAGAAGGGTTGGTTCCGCTCTCATAAATGCTAACGTTCCAACAATGAGCTCACTGACCACATTTTATTGTAGGTATAATTCTGTCAGAGCACCTTGAGTTACTGGATGCAATTACCTTTTAACTGCAATTATCAAGCTTTTGATTCAAACTGGCCTCCAAATAACCCAAAAGGAAGCAAGGTTTCAAGCTTTCATATATTTTGTAGCCGTCAAACCACGAAGTGGGCTGTAAAATTTGTTTTCAACACCCCCCCCCCCCCCCCATTTTCAGCACTCTCAGTCACTTTATATAAACCAAACCAAGCATGACAGCAGTGAATACCCCACCTCACTGTTGGATAAAAAGCGGCAAAGCTGAACTTTTCTTTAAAGAGATAGTTATGTGGAAAATATTGTTGAATTTTAGTTTATGTCTGGATCTCTCATTAAAAAAAAAAAAATCATCACTGACAAAGCAACTTGACTTTGTTACTGAAACTTTCAACTGACCTTGAGTGAAATGACACAGGAATGATAAATCTCTAATTGAGATAAATGAGCGTGGATTTTCCAGGGTTTGTTTGTGTCAGCTGCACCATTTGGGTGTTCACATTTTTGATAATTTGATCTTTTCAAAGTTTATCACCCCATTTCTCAAATCTACTGCTGCTTGGCCTGCCTGGAGCTG